AAAATTTCACTAATTAATAGTGAGTCCTAAAAGCGGATTCAGTAATTAAAGTATGTCAGGTGTTGTACACGGGTGGTAAGTTATAAAACTTGTGCACGACGTGGAATTCTCTGGGACGACATTCGTAAAACATGTCCAAGCCACTGAAGCCGGTGTTTCAAGATGGTGACACCAATTGCATTATCGTCTCTGTGCCCGAACACACGATGCCGAACCTCTGCATTACTAACATGGTGTTGCCACTGAATGTCAGCAATCCTTCGGAGACAACGATGATCGAACACAGAGAGTCGTCTAACATCCTCAACTCGGAGAGGCCAGGTTTCACAAACATAGAACAAAACTGCTCTCACCGACGCGTTGTAGATCCGACCTTTTACAGTCAGACTAACATCACGAAGACGCCAAAGATGGCCCAGATTGGCATAAGCCCCTCTGGCTTTCACTATACGTGCATTGATTTCATCACTCACACCACAGCCAGCACTTATGCAGCTACCCAGATACACGAACTTCTCGACTACTTCTATCTGCTCACCATCCAGAGTGAGTACAGGATTAGAATCCTGCCAATCTTGTAGAAGTACTTTGCACTTCGAAGGTGTGAAGCACATACCATACCTACGGACACTGATTGCCAACTGATTAAGTGGGGATTGCATAGCTTGGGCATTCTCGCACAGTAAGACAATATCATCCGCATACTCAAGGTCGAGAAGTCTTTCTCCAGGCAACAGATCCACACCACCATTACTTACATCCATCAGAGCTGTTTCCAGAATGTCATCGATGGCAAAGTTGAAGAGGAATGGTGAGACTGGGCAACCCTGCCTAACCCCACTGCTTGAATGGAACAATGGAGAAAGGTGGTTGTATGCCCTCACTCTACCTGAGGTGTTTGTATATAGGGCTTTTAGGATGTTAATAAACTTCTCAGTCACACCCTTCTTCAATAGACAATCCCAGAGAACAGTCCTGTCCAACGAATCGAAGGCAACCCTGATGTCAAGAAACACTACGATTGTTGGCCTTTGATAAGTATGGCGGAAGGTGAAGATATGATCAATACATCCTCGACTAGAACGAAACCCAGCCTGCTCCTCGCGAGTCAATCTTTCTCGGGTTTTGAACAACCTACGAAGTATGACGGAAGCCGATAGCTTGGACGCGATCGGAAGTAGACTTATCCCCCGATAGTTGTTTCAGGAACGACGTGAACCCTTTTTAAAGACAGGGACAACTATTGACTCATTCCATGACGTTGGTGCACTCTCTAGTTCCTGGAACTTTGTAAACAACGTCGTCAGTCCCTTAGTCAGAAAGTCACCACCATCTTTAAAAAGAGCCGGAGGTAAGTCATCTAGGCCCGGTGATTTGTAACGTTTCAAGAGTTGGAGTTCCTTGCGGACTTCCGCCTCATTTGATGGATCAGTCGCCACTGGCCATGGAGGACAGGACAGTCTGACCGACGTCGCCGGAGCAGCAGGCCAGTTGAACTGCCCTTCGAAAAATTCTGCCCATCATCCAAGACGTCGATGGATGTTAGTGATTGGCATTCCGTCATCCTCGCAGATTGTTTCTCACACACCAGACTTCTTCCTGCCAGTGGCTCGGATGAGTTGGAAGAGCTTCCGGTAATTACCAGATGCAGCTGCTGCTTCCAGCTCATTAGCACGCTCCGACCACCAGGCTTCTCGGTCCTTACGCAAGCTTTGCTCGATTTCGTTACGTAACATCCTTCGTCTGTGGTTAAACTCACGGTCACCCGGAGTAGACCGACGGGCTTTAATCAGTTGTAAGGAACCAGAAAAACCCAGTGCTTATAAGCGGGACGTTTCGCGAACCCACAACAGACTCTACCCGCCATTTTCATGGCGTCATGCAATTGCAACCAATGCTCATCTATACTTTTCGGTGGAATGGTAGCTAGCCTAGAAGCTAGCTCGGTTCGGAACATACTAGCAACAGAAGTTGCAACCAGCTTGCTAACATCAATCCTGTGGTGGCGCTCACTTCGTTGTCCACTGAAAAGTAAGGTAAGATTGGCGCAGACCAGAGCATGATCAGATTCCAGATAGGTACTCCAAAAGGAGCGGCAGTCTTGTACACAACCGCGCCAGCGGTAGCTCATCGTGATGTGATCAATCTGAGTCCAGGCTTGAGATGCAGAAGGGGGACGCCAGGCGGCACATCGGCGATGACTGTGCCGAAAGTTAGTGCTAGCCAGAAACAGGTTGTGGTCTGTGCATAGTTGCAGGAGACGTTCCCCGTTATCTGTCCTGCGACCAACGAGTCCCCATCGGCCACCTAAACGACTCTCTTCTGTGCCTAGACGCCCGACCTGAGCATTCAAGTCTCCGGCTAGTACTACAATATCTGTCGAACGCACTTTCTGGAGAAGAACAGTTAAGTGGTGGTAGAACTCATCCTTGATTGCATCCGGGCTGCAATCTGTCGGGGCATAGGCGGAGATGACGAAAAGACATCGTTTCTCACGCCGATTTCTTCTCACTTTGATGGAACTTTCTAATCTAACAGCACATAACCGACTGTTAATAGGGATCCAGTCGATTAATGCTGCCTCAGCTCTAGCGCTTAGTGCGATATCAATGCCAGCAAGACCAGACGAAGATGCCACAGGGTCCCCGGATAAACGCACGTAAAACAAGCTTTTTGAAGTGACAGATGGAGAGCGAATTCGTAGTACCTCACCAGTCTTGAATACGGGTCTCGGATAGACAACATACGTCGATATTAAGACTTTCCAAAGACATAGCCAGCCCTATCTGTTGTCCGACCTGCATAAGTGTGCGAACGTTGAAGGCAGCCAGTTTGAATGGTGCACGTGGTTTCAGAAAAACTGCTTCAGTACTCGTATTCGGTGGCAACATACAATTTTCAACCAGACAGTGACTCGAGAACGTTTAGATAGAGCCGAATGTCCACGATAGGCGAGCTGCTGTATAAGTCGAAAAATAAGGATAGACAGAGTGGGAATGAAAGAGAGTGAATAAATGACGTGGTAAATAATAATAATAATGTTAATTGTTTGACGATAAATCGCAGCGTGAACAGAGTTTTCAGAGAAGATCATCATTTTCATTATATTTGTGTGTGGACTGTGATACTGCCAGGGTGCCCAGACCGAAGCAGGTGGTTTTCTTAGGGGGCCACACCCCGAGCCTTCGACCTAAAGGTCTAACCCACAAGGTAGTGGGGCATCGTGAGGAGATGCAGTCCCATGGAAGCTGGTGATCAAGAAATCGGTTCATACGCCATTTGTTCCCGCAGGATATTGGAGCCCATGTGCACCATTGATTTGAGATCCGGTTATAGCGCCGGACGTTTACGTGAGGAAGTGACGATATTGCATGGAAGATTATAAAATCCATGCCTCTCAATGCCACTTTGGTTGAAAACTATAGACAATTAAAGTTAAACGTAACAAGTATAGCTTTATATAATTGGTAACGAATCAAAATTTTATCTACGAACGATTATGATGCTATCCAGTGAGTGAAAAAGGATTTGAACCTATGACTCAGTGGTTGTATGTTAAACGTTTCTACCACCAAGCTACCGATTCATTTCTTAGGTTCCAGGTAAATGTGATAATTTTGAATTGATGAATTTTTTGGATTTAAAGTATAATATATAAATTATACAGGAATTGAAACTTCCTTATTCCGCTCTACTGTCCTCTTTGTTATTTTAAGAAACAATTTATGCAAACAAGTATGTGAATTTTTCGAAATTCTATTTACACATACGTTTGAAGTATATAAACAAACAAGGCAACATAAACCGGATTAATGTACATAAACTGAAATCAATAATTTTCAAAACTTAAAAAAAAACTTTTAATCAAACTTGATAGATGTGGAGATAAAATTGCTAAACTATGAGAAAATCAACTTTTTAATTGGAGTATAGTGGTGCTTTTCATAAAAATGATATTTTTTATTTTTATCAGCTTTAATATTACGTAGCTCTTTTGTAGTAGTCGGAATTCAGTAACTGAATACAAACTCAGATGCGAAACTTTAAATTACACTTTCCAATGTACATGAAGACTAGTGGTGCTTTTCAGCTAACGGAACTGAGATAAATGGGGCCAGTCTAGAACGTGTAACCTGAATAGTTCAGTGTCAAACGATTTAATCAATAACCCATTGTTGGGTGTAACAGTATTGCGATACAGATAATATACAAACAACAATGAATTAAGTACATGACATCGGACTGATGTTTTGTTGTAATGACCTTAAATAAACAACAACATATTCTTTTTACACCTCTGTCATAAGAATCGACATCTTAAGGCATATAGATTTGGATCAGAAACTTATTGAATAATTCCTCACTACCGCCTATCTACTCTGAAATTTGATGATAGCTTTTACCGTGAACTAATGGCTTATTTATATAGAGCATCTTATCTGCTTCAGTTTCAGATTGATCAATATCCAAAACACGTTTTTAACTACGAAGTTATAGTTATACAGTATGGTACTATTAATAAACATGTAAAAGACGTTGTGGGTATCTCACTGACTAATGCATGGGGACACAATTCTCTTTATAAGCAAAACGTTTTAACAGATCTGAGTACACCCATCGTTTTTATCAGACCAAGAAAACCATCCGTGAGCTGTGATATCTCTGTGTTACTTCAAGGGGATGGTTAAAGGATTCTTGTAATCGATATTTTCAAAGTCATATTAACTAGATGACAAACAAGATTAATTAGTTATTCATCGGAAAGTTGATCAAGTGGCACATAGACCATTTTTGTGATTCATTAACCCGTAGGTTGAAGGCTCTCAACATAAGAAAGACAAGAATTTCAGATTGCAATGATTTTTCAATCCATGCCGAGTTCCGATTGTAAAACACTAAATCGAATTCGTTATTATTTGAAAGCTAAGGTTACTAATTAGTATACGTCATACGGTATAATTCACCATACATTCATGATATTGTTATTTTTGTTAACTTACGACTGAGTTTCTAGCTTTAGGAACCTTGTTCACGGGTCCAGGTCGAACTCCATTTGCTTCACGACGTTTGAACAAAGATATTTTAGATGTGCGTCGTGCGGTATTTCCAGACTCAGCCAAAGCACCATTAAGACTAAAAATGAAGAGGATTGAAAAATTGGGAAGTACGAAATCTAAATTCCTTTGATAACACTGGACTACAAGCACAGTCGTTAAAATTTTTTAAAATGGTTAAAGGAGATTTATGGTGAGACAAACAAAGTAAACTTAGATGAATTTAATAACATTTAGTTAGTCACTCTTCGCCGATGCAACAAAATGAATGGTAAGACCTGCTAACCAGATTTAGTAGTGGTTATCCAACATTCAAAACTTGACGTATTCAATAAGATGCGTTGTGTGATAAAACCGTTAGTCAATAAAAGCCCAAGTGTATATAAAAAGAATAAAAACAAGAAAAGGGATAGAAAGTGCTGATACATTTCCAAGGACAGATAACCATAATTTGATACAGAATAAAAATAACAAGGAAACAAGGCATGTTTAATCTAACTATTATGTTTTCGCTCAATGTTAAATGCAAAACATCAGAATAAAAGCAAAATTTAATGCAAACTACTACTCTTTATCTTAACTAGTTGGAATAACTACACCTGCATTGCATCTACCAATTGTGTGAGTACTGTCATTTGCTTTGTTGATGCAAACGTCTCGATATTTGAGTGAAATCACTATTTGTATGGATTGTGAAGGTTTGTTTCTAACAATGTAAAATAAAGTTAAAAATATTACTCTTCTAGGAGAGAGAAGTGGATTTGTGAAATAAAAGTGACCACAAGTTTCACGGAAACAACAACCAATTATAGCATACAAGTTTGAGAATTGCCAATTCAATGGAAGAAAGTGCTGAGTAGAATTTCAACTAAATATTTCCGTCTAAATACTAAAAAAAGACTGTGAACCATAAGCTATATTGGGACTTAATATTCCATACATAAATCTTTGTAGAAATTAAAAAAAATTTCAAGCTTATAATAATTGGTTGTTGACTGAGTGTACTGCCGACGATGTGGACAATAGAATTTAGTAAAAGCTGATGAGTATATACGCAAGCCATATATCGTTTCTAGTGTATGTACTTAGTAAAGATTGCTGCACTTAAGCATGACATTGTGTGAGCTAAAACTGTGAAATTTCACGCATATGATTATGTTTGATATCTTGAATAAAGCAAAAACAAAGAATCAAACAGAATAACATGAATTGAATGAAAACCCTATGTTCGGTTCATAAAGTCTGTCATGCAGACTAAAAAGGCTAACAGTAGTGCTACTTTAAGATATATCGACACAGGACATCAAGTTAACACATCAAGGTCTTACTAGATGATTAACAGACAATCGAACCCCAGTCTTTAGGAATTTTCCGAAGCCATAGCTGTCAAATGTCTGGATTTATGTTTTCAAAAAGAAACTGGTAAATTTCCCTTAACCTTTACACTAACATTACCATGCCATCTTTTTTACATGTTTCAAATACTTTTGTTCTCACTTTAAATTCTTTGAAGCCTTACTGATTGTCAGTAAATGGATACTAGTGTAGAAAAAACCTGAAATAACATTAATTTTCGGAGGATAACAATCACATCTGGAGATCCAGTCTTTGGTAGCAAAGGCAAGATTCAAAACACGAAGTGGTCTTGTTTGATAATCTTATATGACAATTGTTGCCAACCAACCTCGTTAATTGAGCGCATAGAATGTGGAATTTTATCTGAAGAGTGTGATAGGTGAGATTTCTAATTCCCACCTAACAATGACGAAAACTTCAATATCCGTTTTGACAAGTTTTTCACAACTGAACAGAAGACAGGTTCTATGTTATCATTCAGAATATTCACCTAACCCTAGTCTACTCTTACCGGTCAATCAAGTGATATTTAACGAAAAGAACGCGTATGCCTCTTTTAGAGCATGACGCTCGCTATGCCCGAAAGATTGAGTCTTGTACGGCCGATTTACTCTTGTTTAATAGTTTCGTCTGATATTTGTAAATATACCAGCCTTCATAAGATGATCCCGGCCGACGTTTGATCACTGAATAATCAGCAACTCAGTCCTACATTAGTAGCTACAAGTGTGAGGTACACACGGACAAACGAGCTATCTATTCAAAGAAGGCAGTCGCAACAACGACGGAACAGTAGATATTATTATGAGATTAGTCAAGGGAAGTACTACAAACATATTCATTATTTATGATAGTAGTCATATTAATAAAAACACAAGGTGCCACAGATAAAAACAGTGAGGGGCAATTCAAATTGAAAACCTTTTTAAATCGAAGTAAACTTCTTACCCTAATATCGCTAGTTCACCATAAAACACTTGGTCCGCCATCAACTTTAAGTTCGTGCTTGGTGGCAACCTTGGAAAATTGGTGTAATGAAACTTAGAAATGTTTGGTTAACAATAAATTATCCGAGGTAGAGTTTGGACGTGATGAATAACTTTCTCGCAATGAAATGAATTTTAAAACATACAGAGACTAGTATTGTTAAGGATTTGTTATAATTTATCACATCGGCTTTTGGTAAAGATAATCTTTAACAGTTTTATTCGTCCCCATTTAGAGTACGGAAACATAGTATTCCCTCCTACACTCCAAAAGGATAAAGACACTCTGGAGCGTATCCGACAGCGAGCCACGAAATCAGTTTGTTGACTCAAATTTGAACCTCGCGAAGTGCGCCTCCAATCACTTGACCTTTACCCATTAGAGTATAGGCGTCTTAGAGGTGACCTTCTAATGACTTACAGTATCCTTAACACAGCTGGACATCCTCTTAAACACCTACTAAAGCGTAGTCACAACACTAACCTAAGGGGTAACACCCAGAAATTAGAGATACAACATAGTAGAACGGACTGCAGACACGCGCGCTTTTCGAACGGGAAGTTTAGTCCTAACGTGGTTTGCATTTCTCAAACTTTTGCTGTGTTCTTACGCAACAAAAGTACCATTTCTGATCTAAACAATCTATTCTGAGCTACAAGTTCGGTAGATTACTTTTTTTTTTGAGTTTCACCCAATTTAATAGTTAACTGCGGTTTTGCCTCAGCTTACTATTCGGTTTATTTTCAGTTTTTCACGTAAAGGCTATTTCATTTTATCTCATCCGTTTTTATACATTTTTCCCGTTTTAGTGTGGTTTTTAGTGTATTTTTAACGGTCTTAAGCACAGTTTACGTAAATACAGCCATGAAAAATTCATGTAAAAGACCTGGATGCCGTTTCGCTGTTACATCTGGCATGCAGTGTGACAACTACAAAGGTTGGTTTCACGAAACGTGCACAGATCTTACGGCAACGGCTTACAAAAGACTCAGCAAATCGGACCGTAAGTGGGTGTGCGTTACGTGCAACACGGACGCTGTAGTGCTGCTGAGCAATATCATTGTTCTACTGACAGGTCTGCGGAACAAATTGTCAGTAAACTTGGAAACAGATAGCCATAAAATAGGTAGGCAAACGAGGGCGCGTAACGAAAATAAGAACAGGGATGTTGACAAGTCAACCATCGATGGAACGCGCATTAGCACTAATGATGACATGTTGAAACTCAGCACCATCATTACGTCGACAATAATTGATTCCCTCACTAAAATTGGATCTCCCAGTTCAGGGTCCTCAAACGCAACGGTGGTTCCTAAAAACTCGGCAGGTGACTGTAACCACGCCATCAGAGCTAATAAGGACCAGGTGTCACCGTCCAAGGTTGACATCCCAAGTGTTGTACGGACATCAACTGGTGCTTTGATCGCTCAGTCTACCCCCAAAAATGTCCGCCCGGTTATTAAAAAGCCTACGATTCAAAAACCTGCTTCGACCTCCAAACAACAACGTACTGAATCTGAACGCACTGGAAGAGCTGGGAAAACAACAACGGTCCGTGATGACTCCCTCATAATCATGAACCTCATAGACAATCCTGACCTTCCTCTCAGTTTGCAGGACAAAAATGACAGGATGCTTTGGGGTGAACTGAACAAAAAGCTCGAACTCCCTAGAATAGAGCCTTTGACGGTCACACGGCTCACTCGGGGAAAGGATTCTAAACACCAAAATCACCCGAGACTACTCCGTGTAACACTCAAGAATGCTACCGAAGTAGAGGATGTCCTGCTGGCCAGTCATCTACTGAAATCCGATGGGAACGTCAGAATACTGCCTGACATACCATATTCTGAGCGCAATCTCATCCGAAACGTCCCTAAAGATTCTCGAGAGAAGTTTTTCCGCGGAAGAAATATCATCGTGCAAGGTGTACCGGAAAACATGGACCCTACTCAAGCAAACTCTGACATTCGGGAATGGAAATTCATCAAACAGTCCTTGAGGCTTAAAAACATACTGTCTCAGCATGTGATGAGACTAGCCAAGAAGGATGGGGATCCTAGACCCCGACTATTGAGGATAACTTTTCCATCCTCCCATATGGCGGCTGCAACTCTGGAAGCATTTCGTGTCAACAGACGTCGGTTGCCAACTGGGATCCATATGCACCCGGATAGGCCATACGACGCCAGGATCAAGCACAAAGGCAAGCTGGAACTGACCATTCCACTTGTGGACTGTCTTCAAGACAAAAAAAACGTGTAAAGGACAGGGCCTACCAATTAGACAAAACTTATATAGGTGGGTTACCTGTCCACTCACGCAAGGCTCTCATAGATAAACAGGAAGAAGCTCACGCGTTTCAAATTGAAAGCATTAACTGCTTATACATGAACGCCGCGAGTCTGCCAAATAAAATGGATGAACTAAGTGAACTCAGCAACGCTAATAAAGTTCATCTGATAGGAATATCTGAAACTTGGATATCTCCTCACTTTTCGGACCAGGAGCTAGCAATACCTGGGATGTCTCTGTTTCGCAATGACAGAAAAACAGGAATTGGGGGTGGAGTAGCCCTATACATAAGATCTGGCCTGGTGGTACATCAAATCCACAACCACGAGTTTGACAATCTTGAGGAATCCCTATGGTGCTCTATGAGATTGTCCACTACCTCGAGGTGCTTAGTCGGAGTCATATATAGGAAGCCCACTGCCGACATCGAGTATGACAGTCGCATGCTGGAGGGACTATCCCGCTCTACGCGTCTCGGCTTCACTCATATCCTGATTCTAGGGGACTTCAATCTTCCTAGAGTCAACTTCGCGGAACATACGTATACTGGAGGTGAAAATTCAATCGAAGCTCGGTTCTTCAACCTCATTGAGGACTTGGGACTACACGAAAATGTGAAGTCGCACACTCGTTGGAGAAACGGTCAGACACCGTCGCGCTTAGACTGTGTTTTTACAAATGAAGAATTTCTAGTCGACAACCTCTCAATTCTGGCTCCCCTGGGGAAGAGCGATCACGCCGTTATAGCCTTCAGTTTCGTCAGCAAAACAGAGCTAAGATATCCCGACAACAACAGGCGCTGGAACTTCAAACGGTTGAATACGTCAGCTCTACAGGATTATCTACAACAGGTGGATTGGGATGTTCAACCTCAACTTGATGTGGATGCTCATTGGGACTCCTTACTGCTCACGCTCTCATGTGCTACTAAGCAGTCAGTTCCTCAAACGGTCCCCAAAAGGCACAAGCAACCTACAATCATCAAAAAACGCACTCTTCGTTTGCTAAGCCGTAAAAGGCACTGTTGGGCAGAATACAAACGAACCAACAACAACGGCGAGTACAGGCAATACAAACATATAAGAAACATATGTACGAAGGCTATAAGAGAAGACAGGCTTCAGTACCAGTTAAAGCTTATGGACAAATTTATTTCCAATCCGAAAAGCTTATTCCGTTATGCAGCCTCTCTTCGTCAAGCCAAAACTGGAGTTTCTCAACTGCTAGGTCCTAACGGCCCGACAGATAATGACGGTGACGCCGCTAACCTTCTGGCTGAGCACTACTCCCGGACATTTCAGCCGACCCACATCAACTATACTGATGTCGGCTCTGTCTGCAACTGCACAGGACTTTCCGTAGTGAAACTGAGTGCTGACTTGGTGTACCGTAAACTACAACACCTAAGAACAGACACTTCTCCTGGTCCAGATATGGTCCACTCTGCTATACTGAGGGAAGCAGCTTTAATCCTAGCAACACCGCTTAGCGTGATGTTCTCACACTCGCTAAGTCGGGGCAAACTACCGGATATTTGGAAGCTGGCTCATATCACACCAATCTTCAAAGGAGGTCGACGCAGTGAACCTTCAAGTTACCGACCGGTGGCCCTTCTCTCTATACCTTCAAAGATCATGGAGTCCCTGGTATACGATGATATACATGACTATCTGCTGTCCTTAAATTTCTTCTCACCCCAACAGCATGGTTTCAGGAAGGGTTATTCCTGTATGACGAACCTGCTGACCGCGGTGGACAGATGGACAAGCATCGTTGATCTTAAGGGGAAGGTAGACATCATTTACCTTGATTTCTCTAAAGCTTTCGATAGGGTTAACCACACATGTCTTATTAACAAGCTCAAACAATTGGGAATCAAACCACCTTTAATTGACTGGCTCAGTTCATACCTCACAAATCGACATTTTAAGGTCAGGGTAAACTTCAATTTCTCACGCGTATGGAATGTTCTAGTGGGGTCCCCCAGGGCTCAGTACTAGGACCTCTCCTCTTCCTGATTTATATAAATGATCTTCCTCAACAGGTAACGTCAGACATACTGCTCTTTGCCGATGACGTGAAACTTTGGAGAGAGATACGCAACCAAGAGGACATACAGGCACTTCGGGAGGATCTGACTCGACTTCAAAGTTGGGCAGACAACAACGGACTTACCTTTAACACTTCAAAGTGTAAAGTAGTCCATCTGCGACACGTCGCAGATTACAGTTACAACTTAGGAAACTCCTCTCTAGTAGTATCCCGAGTCGAAAAAGATTTAGGAGTTCTGGTGCCCTACGACTTAAAGTCTTACGCCAACTGTGACAAAAATGCCTTTAGAGCAAACCTTGCACTGGTAACATTGAAGCGCATTTTTGGTCAGTTTGACGGGAGAACTTTTCACATAATCTTCAATAGTTTCATTCGTCCCCATTTAGAGTACGGGAACATAGTATTCCCTCCTACACTCCAAAAGGATAAGGACACTCTGGAGCGTATCCAACGGCGAGCCACGAAATCAGTTCGGGGACTCAAATTTAAACCTTACGATGAGCGCCTCCAATCACTCGACCTTTACCCATTAGAGTATAGGCGTCTTAGAGGTGACATTCTAATGGCTTACAGTATCCTTAACACACCTGGACACCCTCTTAAACACCTACTTAAGCTTAGTCCCAACACTAACCTAAGGGGTAACACCCAAAAA